GTTTCTCAGACCCCAGTGTCCCTCAAAAGGGAGCAAATAAGATGTATACCAAAAATCAGAGCAAACGGAGACGGTTAGGCGGTCCCGAACCGAGGCACACGGCCTGACGGCTCCGAAAACCGGAAACCGGGCTCCGAAATGTGCAAAATGGCCTACAGCCACAAAATGTAGCCCACGGCCACTGAGGGATGGTCTACGGGACCTCTCCCTCCCTTTGGTAAGAGAAAACAGAGAAAACCGAGCCTGGTTCGCAAACCGAGGCAAAGTACAAAAGAGGGTTCGGAAGTCCGGAGGCAGGGCTCACGGCCGTGACTCTGAAACTTCTGAACGAGCACAATATACAACATCACCGAGCGCTCAATCAGTGACGTCTGAGTCTTAAGGTCGGTCAAAAATGGAGTGTCTACACTTGGGCCCGACAAGTATTTGACCATTATAGTCTTTACTTTTCCAGGTTGTATTGCATTGGCCAGATTGACAAGTGCATTGGCGTGACTGTTATTATCTCGGCTAATCTGATGTAGTCGACAATTATGAAACAAAGCTACTAACCTGTTGACTTCCTTTGCGTAGGTTGACATCCTTTCATCTCGGGTTGTAAACTCGCCCGTTGTCTGGTTGACAATGAGCTGGGAGTCACAGAAGACTATCACTTCATTTGCTTCTGCTGCAACCGCCAGCTTTAGTCCTGCAATCAATGCTTCATATTATGCGTCATTGTTTGAGGCTTTGAACCCCAATCGAATGGACTGTTCCAATACTTCTTCATCTGGAGATACCAGTACTACTCCTGCCCTTACTCCTTGTCAGTTTGAGCTCCCATCGACAAACAGTCGAAAGGAGTTGCTGATGTAAATGTTACAAGGTCTGAGTTTTTCCTTTTTCCTTTGTTCTGTTGCATTTGGCTGGGCTTCTCCTTACTTGCTTGGACATCGTTCACCTCGGCTCAACGGAGCCCGATGTGCGATGGATTCTGGTGTGAACTTGGCCACGAAGTCGGCCAAAACTTGGCCTTTGATTGCTGTTCTGGGCCTATACTCCAAGTCATACTGGCCCAAAGCGATTGCCCATCTGGCTATTCTCCCTGTCAAGTCTCCTTGTTGCAATAAGGACTTCAAGGGGTGCTCAGTTAGCACCATAATTTTATGGGCCTAAAAGTAATGGTTCAGCTTCTTTGAAGCCATTACTAAAGCCAGTGCCAGTTTCTCTAAGGGTAGATACCTTGTTTCTGCATCGGCTAGGGTTTGCTTACATAGTAAACAGCCCTTTGCTCCCCTTTTTTTTTCTCGGATTACCACTGCCCTTACTGTGTGTTCTGAAACTGCCAAGTATAGGAACAGCTCCTTCTCAAGTTCTGGATTTGAAAGAACTGGAGCTGTGGTCAAATACTTCTTCAGGTCGGCCAGGGCGGCCTCACACTCTTCTGTCCATAAAAAATATGTGGCTTTCTTCACTAAGTTGAAGAAAGGTTTGCACTTGTCTGAGCTTCTGCTTATAAACCTATTCAGGGCTGCGGCCCTTCCAGTCAACATTCGTACCTGTTTTGCTGACGTCGGGCTCTTCAATTCCAGGATGGCCTTAATTTGATCTGGGCTGGCCTCAATGCCCCTTCTAGTCACCAAGTATTCTAAAAACTTACCAGATCTTACTCTAAATGCACACTTCGCTGCATTGAGTCGGAGCCAGTATGTTTTAAGGATGTCAAAGATTGCTTTCAGGTTGGCCAGATGACCTTTAGGTTCCTTGGTCTTTACGACCATGTCATCGATGTAAACTTCCACCGTTCTGCCAATCAGGTGTTTGAACATCTTGGTTACCAGTCTTTGGTAAGTTGCTCTTGCGTTTTTCAACCCAAAAGGCATCACTCTGTAGCAGTATAGACTTTTTGGGGTGACAAATGCAGTTTTCTCCTCATTTGGGGGATACATGGCTATCTGATGGTACCCTCTGTTGGCATCTAGGAAGCTCATCCTTCCATGCCCCGAAGTGGCATCTACCAGTTGGTCAATCTTGGGTAGAGGAAAATTGTCTTTGGGATAGGCTTTGTTCAAGCTGGTAAAGTCTACGCAGACCCTCCATTTACCATTCGTCTTCTTCACTACTACTGTGTTTGATAGCCATATCGGGTAATCTACCTCTCGAATGGCCCTGGCCTCGAGAAGTCTGTCTACTTCTTCCTCCACTGCTTCGACGTGTAGCAACGTTGGTCTTCTTGCTCGTTGTATTATCGGTTTGGCTGACCTGTCAATGTTTAGCTTATGGCAAGTGACCTCGGGGTCAATGCCAGGCATTTCGTAGGGTGTCCACGCGAACACCTAAATATTTGTTCTCAGGAAAGCCTCTATCTCTTTTTCTTCTTCTTCGGCTAGGCTCGAGCCGAGAAGAAAGAAGCGTTCCTCATCCTCCTCTTGGACGAGGATTTTCTTCAGTGTTTCTTCACTCTCTTCAGCCGACTCCTTGCCGACATCCTCTAGGACCTCCACGTCCTCGTCTTCAATTTCTGCCTTCTCTGGTTTTTGAATGCTACAGGTGGATTTCATTGCTGCCATGGAGCAATTCTTTGCTTGCAGCTGATCTCCTCTGACCTCCTCAATCCCATACTCTGTTGGGAACCGCAATAGTTGATACAGAGTTGAGGGAACAGCCCTCATTTCATGCAACCATGGCCTTCCCAAAATGATGTTGTAAGGGGAGGGTATGTCAATTACGGTGAACTCTGTTGTTATCTTCCTGGTGCCTACTTGCACCTCCAAGCTGGTTGTTCCCAGTGGCCATGTCGGTGTTCCATTGAACCCGACCATTGGGCTATTGGGCTGCTTTATGTCGTCTGGGTGAAGGCCAAGCTCCTTGTAACATCAGACATACATGATGTCACAAGAGCTGCCTTAGTCGATCAGAATGCCCTTTACTTGGCATTCCCCAACCCGGAGGGATATTACCAAGGTATCATTATGCGGATGCTACACCATCTCAAGGTCGGCTGCAGAAAAGGACACTACTGGTCCTTGGCTCTCCTCTGCCCGATGTCTCTTCTTCCCGACTTGGTAGACATGCTGTAGATGTTTTACCTTCTGAGTCTCCCTCCGAATCTCGTTTTCGTTGACCTTTGAGTGAACTACATTAATTACCCGAGGTCCTCCTACTTGTGGTTGCTGTGCTGGGGGAGGTGGTGCTGCTGTCGCCTGAGGCAATTTTGCCTGTTCCTCCCTTGTTCTGGCCTCATCGACAAGGTCTCTCAGATGACCTTGCCTCACCAGGTCTTCCAAGTGTGTTTTTAGGGCTCTGCAGCCCCGAGTCATATGCCCGTTTTCATTATGGTAAGCATAATGCCTGCCAAGGTTTCTTCTCATGAATTCTCCTGGTGCCTTTGTTGGTGTTCTGAAATAGGGTTGATTCCGAATTTGATCCAGGACTTTGTGAATTGGGATTCGGAACACGGTTGTTACTACCTGTGCAGCCCTCAGTTCTGTCTCTTGTTTACTTAATCCATTGTTACCTCGGCCTCGCTTCGACGAGCCGTTTCCCTTTTCTTGCTTTACCTTCTTGGTCCCCGATGTATCTTCTTCGGCCCTAGCGTACTTCTCGATCCTCGCCATGAGCTCTTCCATGCTTTTTGACAATGTCTTTGCCAAAGATTTTCGTAGTGGACAGTTGTCTTTTAGGCCATTCTTGAATGATACGACTGCCACTTCTTGATTACATTCTGGTATTCGGTTGAACACCTCGTAGTACCGTTTTGCATAGGCCCTGAGGCCTTCTTCCTTGCTGATCTTCAGAGCCATCAATGCATCCACCCTTAATGGCCGCAGCTTGTTTGTCACGAACCTAGCCACAAACATCTCAGCCAGGCCTTCCCAAGTCTTCACGCTTCCTTTTGGTAATTTGTGAAACCAATTTGATGCAATCTCCCCGAAGGATGAGGGGAACACTTTACAGAGCAACGGCTCGTTCCCACTATACAACGCCATTGAGTTCAAGTATAATCCAATGTGGAAATTGGGGTCTGACTTACCATCGTATATTTGGAATCTTGGCATACTGAATCTTGTTGGAGCCTCAAATTTGTCTAGCTCCACCGAGAATGGTCTTCTCGGCTTTTCAGGGGAAGTTACCTCGGCATCGGCATTCTGCTGCTTCCTCTTGAGGTAATCTCTTAAGTCCTTCTTTGTCCGCTCAGGAGCTCGGCAATCTCCTGCTTTTAGTCTTTTTGGTGCATTACTTTTAGCTTCATGGTGAGTCATCTTCGACCCTTCTTCATGAGGTGTGTCGAAGCACAGCGTCTGTCCCTGAACATTCCAATGTCCTTTGGGGTCTGCGTCCTTTGTACGATGCATCCTCTACGATTCTTTTCTTCTTGACTCTTTTCGTCCGACCTCCCTAGAAGGACACTGAGAGTATCTTTCGCTCCCGTTGTGCTAAGGGGCTACGGGGATTGTTTTCTGCCCTCCCTTCTGGGCATTGGCCGCTGGAATCGGCGTGTCTTGCAGCGAGTATAGTGGCTGCATGACATTGTTTTGCATCATGAAATTGACGACCGATTGCAGGTCTGCCAATTTGTTTGCCATCTCCTTTACCTCTTCATCCCTTCGCAGACATCTATCCTTCCATACCTGGAGGTCATCCTCATTGTAGTACCCACTTCGATCTGGCTTTTTTGGTGCGTCACCATCCTGGCCGACGTCTTTCTTGCTGTAATTCTGGTCACGAGTTTTTGTGTTGCGGTTGTCTCCTTCGACGTTAAGGTCGATAGGTCTGCCACTCCCAGCGGGAGTGTCGGCCCCAATCTTTTCCTTCTGTCTGTCACTGGCCATCTATTCTCCTTTCTTTCCCATAGAGGGCGCCAAATTGTGTGAGTGATTTTCCGATCACACTGCCCAACTTAGTAATCAGTTGGAGAGAACTAGCAGAATAGATGACACCAAGCCGACCTACAACAGAAAGAGAAGATTCCGGTGGTGGTTCGTCCACCCGGGGGCACTCCGACGATCAAGTCAGTATATCTCTAAAAGATAATCAATAGTGCTAAACTCACTATTCAGAATATAAATTGCGTACCTTAGACCCATGGGGGTGCCTTCTTTTATAATTAACTCAATTCTTATCCCACTAGAAGCCTAGCTTCAATGGACCCTTCCTCAGTGGTTATCCTGGACTCTCTAAGAGATAAAGATAAACTCCCTAAGAGTTTTATCCTTATCCATGCCATAGTTCTTCCTTATTCTAGGACTCTTGTCCCTTATCCACTTATCTCAGATTCCGATATCTTCGGAGATAACCTCGGCCTTGCCAAGATCACCTCGGCGTCATATCCTGGACACGTGGCACCTCGGCTGACACGTCGACGTCACCTTGGCCATGTGTTGGGACTCATAAAATATATCCCTACAATTATAATATATATATTTATATATTTTATCTATCTATTTTATTATATAAAGGGAAGATCTACAACGGTATTGATATTTTTGTGACACATATTTTGAATTTTCATAAAATACTCCTATAATCCATGTTTATGTAAAAAATAAGAGTAAAAGACTTGAAACAAAGTTTGGTAAAATACTACTTATATAAGAAAAATTATGTGTATTTTTTTATTATTATTCTTATATATCATTGCATAGTACGTACGTGTGTGTGTGTGTGTGTATTGCGTTTGCTAAGAAGTGTCGAAATCAATCGTGCCGCCATAGCATCATGTGGCATGCTGACTCAAGATTACACGCTGCCTCACCATGGAAGGGGACAGGAACTGGTGTCCAACATAGTAGATAAAAAAAAATGTCACATTTATTTAGAGCTTATTATATGTTTTAATTAAAAAATTATTATAAATTATCATATTATTTTTTTTAAATTTTTTTATACATTATTTTATAAAAAATAAAAAAATTATTAAAATAACTTATTTCTAAATCAAACCTGTGATTAGGCGACATTCTGGGAAAATATTATCCACTGACTTCATGAAAATATTGTTGGAAAAGAAAGAGGAAAACAATTACTACAAATAATTAATTAATTATAGGAAAACACGGATGATAGTCTTTGAATCCACTCAGATGCGGACCTACACAAGGACGGGAGGTGGCCATGTCCCCTCTCAAGTTTTTTAAAATTGCAATATCACCTCTATATGGTAAGAATATTAGTAAAATGTATTCTAATTTTATAAAAATTACTTTACTAGTTATTTATTTTATTAGTGATGATACAGTTTATCTCAGTGAGTGGAGCGAGCTGATCCAAGCCCCTCAAGTCCAAGTCCAAATTATCAAGCCCACCAGATAACCTGCAAGTAAGTTCAACGGGGAACGGGGTAGTCCCCCAGTGAACCCTCCGACGAGCAAGTTAGGAAGAGAAGTAGAATATAGAGGGAGATATTAGAGATAGAAAAGCTTAACCTTCTTCTTGTCTTCAACGTTTGCAAGGTCTAATCAAGTATATATGAGATCTAATTAATAATTTAAAATTTTAGAAAAGAATAAAAATTAACTAGATTTATTTAATTTTCCCATTAAATACTTACTTTAAACCGCTTAAAAAAATGATCTTCAGTTAATAATGTACCAAAGATAACTCAAAATTTATCCAACAAAATTTTTGATTCCGCCTTGAATCCACTGTCAATAATGTTAGAAAATGTGAAACTAGTAAATGAAAGTATGTGAAGAAAGTTATATGGGGATTTTAATTTATTTTTTATTTTTTATTAATAGCTCATGACCCATCTAGTATGTTTTATTGTTCTTCATTTGTTGAGAATATCACTTAAACAATATCACTCCCTAATACTTTTTGGTAAAATTTAATCTGATGAGATAAACCCTTTGAAATATTTTTAATGCTATTCGAATGATCTACTGTCGCCATGTCAATTGTGTCCTTGGAGCAATGAAGCACACATCAAATATCAAGTACGCTAAAAAATACTTAATTAATCTTATATATATCTTTTCTAGATATATAGTATTTTTGTTTTCAAAATAGGATGAATGAGAACACACTACAAGAAACCGTAAGTTGTTGCCTATTGTTACAAGAAACTGTAATTTGTTTTCTAGATATAGTATTTTTGTTTTCAAAATAGTATTTTTTTTTAGTCGTCTTTTGTTACATTTTTGACAATTAATTTTTTTTTTAATCGGCAAATTTAGTCGTCAAAGTGTAATTTGTTGTACTGACAGTTCAACATGTACAAAATTCAATCACAAAATTAGACTAAACTTTCACAGATAGGATGAGGCCCACACATTCAGTGAAATTCTGTCCTGCAATCAAATTTTATACACTTAAATTTTTTTTGAAAGAGAAACAAGAACAGTCCCAGGTTGTTCCATTTATATAAATGTTTAAGAGCTTGACAGTTTAAGTTGAACTGCGATCAAACAAATAAATAAAAGAAAAATATATAGTACAGCTATTCTTTAATTAATTAAAGAGTTTGAGAGACTATTAATCTTACTTTTATTCATTTAACAACGGCTTGCCTTATTCCTTTTGTCTCTCATTAGGGATGCTACTGCCGACCATGTAAAAAATAAAATAAAATATATAAAAACATATAAATAAAAATAAAACAAGATGGTGATGAAAACATTTTTAAAGAAAACTGTACACTGTTGACATTACATAAACTCCATGCGGACCAAAATTTTAAACATGCTCAAATCAAACCCCTTAAAAATATATTAGATTAATTACGTATTAAGACCGATATTCATATCTGTTTTTAATGAATTGTTTAGTTCTTAGGAAATGAAGACCCTTTTGAGTCAACCATAGAATAGACATATACGAATAAGATTTTAAAAAATTTATTGATGGAATTATTTTTTAAAAATCTTATTTTTTTCATATATATTATGTATCCAATTATGGAGTTATATATTCTTATACTCAATGGCTAATGAAATAATATTATGGTAGATTAATTCATGGCGTGCTTGCAAGATCACATCCTTTTAGTTAGGCACCATATTTATTATACGATTTATTGTGTTCCTACACCTTATATATAGGTTTGTAAGAAATAATAATAAAATGTTATATCTAAATAGATGTCTTATTTAATTTTTTATCCCTAGATACAAAAATATGGGGACAATTTTTTTCCCAATTTACAAAATAGACTGGACGATATTGTTTGAATTTGTGGGGGCCCATCTGAGGTTCCACATCAATAATCTGAACCACTCGTTTTTTAAACCATACATATAAATCATCCATAAAAAAATAATCTTAAGTCGATGACCGTGACCACATTAATTTATGGTATTTATTGGCAAAAATATTAATGACAAATATTATTTGAAATATAGACAATTCGTATTTTGAGAGACAAATATAATAAACTAATGTGTCTAAATTCACCTTTTTTTTATTATTATTTACAAATGATCTATATATTGTGGTCTAAAAAATAAACAATTTAGGCTTAACGGGCTCAAACAACACCGTCTAATCTACTTTATGGATTGAAGAGAAGTTGTCTCCCAAAAATATAATCTCACGTGTATTTACGGTTGTAGACCATACTATTCTTGTGTTTAATAAACAAAATTTAACATTTACTCAAATAATATGATAGAAAATCAATATTGAAAGAGAGAGATATGAACCCTTTGGGGCTTTCTTATCCCGTGGATGTAGGCTAACGCTCAAACGTGAATACGGTGTTGTGCCCTTACTTAATTGTTACCCTATTTTATTTTAATTGAAATTATATTTTTAGGGAAGGTCATTTTTGCCATCCATTGAATTGAATATTTGTTGATCATCCATGCAAGTTACCAAGAACAAAATTAAGCATGCCTGTCATAGCTCCTCTCAATAAAACCATACCGTCACACCAATAAATTGACCTCTCCTCCTTCTTCTCCCTCTGAAAATGGAGTTTAATCAGTCGAGCATCAAAAAATCTGACCCAGTAGTATTGAAGAGTTCAGATGATCATAACCAATTTTCGAGCCATGTTAGGTCATACACATGCACTTTTTGCAAAAGAGGCTTCTCAAATGCACAAGCACTAGGAGGACACATGAACATCCATAGAAGAGATAGGGCAAAACTTAAAGAATCGTCCAGTGGTGATCAATCCCTACTTTCTTTCGACACCACAAAGAAGTCTCCCTCTGATGATCATGACTCGTCAGAATCAAACGAAGAGAAAGTTTTCAGCCCTAAAAGGTCATCATTGGTTTTATGTAAAGGCGGTGATGGTGTTGGAGAATTACAGAACTTGTTTGTTGAAACACCGTCATCAAAAAATGATGTAGAGGCAAGCATTCAAGTGAGTGAGCAAGTAGAGAAAAGCAAACAGTTGGGTCGTGGTTCATCGCACGGTGAATTGGATCTTGAGCTTCGGTTAGGGTTGGAACATCATGAAACAACAAAAACAGGTACTGGAGAGTTATTTTGAATTTATGTAGCCCATGCTGAAATGGACTTATCAATGGGGTTTAATTTCTTTTTTTCTTTTTTTAAGTTCTTTTTAAACTTCGTTTTAATTTTGTTACCAATAAATAAAACTCATCCTAAAAGAAATAACATGTAAAATGGTTTATATAATATTCTAAATCTGGTTATGCAACAAAGAGTAAGAATCTACAACTAATTCACATTATTTTTCACACAAATATTCATATTTTGAATTTTGACATTCTCTATTTTCTCTATGATATTACGATTTTATCACTGTCTCTGCCTATTATGTGAAGTACAATTTTCTATTGCATCAATGACTTTTTATTTCACCCAAAAAAAATGGTTTTTGACATAATATAAACCAAATGTTATGAATCTTCAACATTTACGATTTTTTTTTATAACGATTTAAAAGATTTGCAAGCCTAGTAAAAATTATTTACACATTAGAAGTTAGGGTAAATTACTAATAGGCCTTAATAGTTGGACTTAATTCTCATCGAGCCCTATTGAAAATAAATCTTAGTAAAATTGTCGCTAAAAATATTTTTTTGTGACAATTTTTTACATATGTCGCTAAAAATTGACAATTAGGAACTTTTTTGTCATAATTTTTATAAATTGTCATTAAAACTTACAATTAGTGATATTTTTTTATGACAAATTTTTCTCATAGGACCTATTAAACAATAAGTTCACTTATTAAGATTTACACGTAAGTTACCCTAGAAATTAAGCTCATATTATTTAGTTGTGGCAAGAAGAAATTGCTTAACAATCAATGAAAAAATCAATATTATTTACACATGCTTTCCTATTGATATATTTTTGTTGTATCACTTGTACTCCATAATTCATCAATAAATTTTGATTTGCCGATCCCAAAAAAAAAAAAAATACACTATAAAGTTTTGTTGTTAAAATTAGGGTTTCATTCGGCTGCCGTTATGTCTTGGCAAGTTAGTTTCACGATTAGCCAGGGAAGGGAAAAAAAAAAAAAGGCAGCGGTTTCTTTTTCTTTTTTTATTTTTTATTTTTTGGTGGCTTTTTCATATATGGACAATGCTTTTCATGAATTTAGTCTCAAATCATTTTGGATCTGCCATTTTTACTCAACCAAATAATATTTGGACCCATATATATATATATATATATACATGCCAGAGAGAGGCCTATTTCGTACAATATTGGACTTGGTAAATGGATCAATTTTTTGTGCATGCATCTCTGAGAATCTATGAAATTAATTTTTTTTTGTGTAATTAATTTTCTCAATCAAATCCGTTATTTTTCAAATTTAGACAACTAAGCTGAATCCATAACGCACCCAATTGGCACAAATTATTGTGAAATCCATGTTATTATTATGGACTAATAATGCTTTCATTAATATCAAAGTTCTGAACTTCCAATTTTAGAACTCAAAGAATGTTGAGAAGACAGACCCTTCAAATAGACATAGCTTGAAAGTGGCACAAAAGCATGGCATCCTCAAACAACTGAAATTTATATATCTTTTCCAACACAAATATTGAATTTGTTAGACTTTCTAGTGGTTTAATTACATTTTTGTTTTACTTTCCTACTCGTATTCTATTTTACTTTTTGTGTGAGGACTTTAAAGTTTAAATATTGGGACTGACAAAACCCTAACTTAATTGGAGAATTGAAACTTCAAATGGTGAGAATTAGCCTATAATTTCCAAATTTGTGTCCAAAATTTTGTAGTCATATATACAATTTCTCGAAAATGAAGTATGTGGTGTATAGTGAAACTTAGTCTGACGAAAGCCGCACTAAAAATAAATCTACTCCAATAATTGATTTTCAAATTAAGTTTTTGAGCTTTATATCACTGTTGTTTAGGAGTTTGGGGATTAATTTGCTGCATTTGGTAGTCATTGTGAATGGATCAAAAACCTCTCCAGTCCACTATCCAGCCTGTATATCTCATTAAGGGTTTTATTTTGATGATTTGTTCTTCTTTTTTTTTCATTTTTAAGTCTCTGTGTTTAAATAATTCATGAAAAAATCAAATGAGTTTATTATTCATGGACAAAGGATTACATCATTTTAGTATTTATCATTAAACGGTCCATTTTTAAAATTATATCCATCGTCTATTTTTTTAACAATGATTCATCTCCCCTTTTCCCCCACCCCCTTTGATCCCCTCTCTCTCTTATTGGTTACATTTTCTTTTTCTTTTTCTTTTTTTCCTGCTTCTCCAATCACCACCCGCCACGTGGCAAAGGGGGGGTGAGGGGGTGACCCCCAAAAGGGGGTCCCAAGCATTATTCTTTTTTTAAAATAAAAATGATAAAATCATGAAACTAAGTAAGGCTGAGCAAGGAATCCGTGAAATCCGTAATCCGATCCAATCCAGTTTAATCCGGTAGGTTTGGATTGGTTTTTTGAATCCGTGGTTCGGTTCTGAATTGAAAAATTAAAAATTCGTAATCCACGGATTGGTTCCAGATTGAATCCCACGGTTCCGGATTGAAACCGATCCGAACCGTATACAAATAGTCTATATTTTTATTATACACCCTCCCGCATAATATCTTCTCTTATTTCATATAAAACCTAAACCCGCATAGTATCTTCTTTTATTGCTTTTTTTGTTAGTTTTTAGTTTTAATTTTTAATGGTCTAAATACTTATGGTGGAACCAATTTTCTTATGGTTGTTTAAATTCTAGAATAGTATGTCGATATTATGGAAATATATGTTGCTATTGTGAAACTAATATAGTACTATGTTTATGTTTTTATGAAATTCAAATGTTATATATATATTTTTGTTATTTAATTATGTAAATTCGTAGTCCTAAACCGATCCAATCCGTGTTCAAATGGATTGGTTCGGATTGGTTCCACGATTTAAACGGATTGGATTGATTCTAATTTTTCAGGAATCGTAGATAACGGATTGATCTTGATTTTACCTCAATCCGGTCTAATCCGAACCATGCTCACCCCTAAAATTAAGAACTAAATAAAGCAGATAATTAAAATGAATTGCCTAAGGAGCCCGAAAAACCAAATTGTATTGTCTAACCCCAAAAAAGGTCGAGGTGCTTTGTGAATAACCCGTATGAACTTCGGTTACTATATTATTAATAAAATGAAATAATAATCCAGGTTTATTCACAAAGTGAAAAAGACAACACAACTAGGACGAGGTTATTTAAGGATAAAGTAAACAAATTAGCATGAGGTAAGTTTGCGTATAAATAATTAAAGACGGCAGTGGGTATTGTGTGAGCTGATGTGTGTCCCTTGCTGTGAGTTATTGTGTTTGCTAGGCTGATAGGGATCTGTTAGGTGATTCTGGGCTGATAGCAATGTTGTTGCTGCTCATAGTTTGGTCTTTGTCCTTGTCTTTTTTAGTTTTTCTTGTTTGTTTGACTTCTTGTTGGATTTGGTTCCTTAGGCCTATTTTGGGAACTTGGCTAAAAGTCACTTTTTTTGGTTAGTAGCAAAAGTCAAAAGTTGGTTTTTTTGGCTTTTTTTTCATTTGGCAAGTTGGTTTTTAGCCAACGGTGCAATTACAATTTTACCCCTCATGGGTCACAATGTGTTACATAGGTTCAGTTGTAAATATTTTAAATAAATGGGAGTAGTTTAGTCATTTTATTATGATTTGACATCATAAACAAATATTAATCAAAAAAGTCAAAAGTCACTTTTTACCAACTTCCCAAATCATTTGTCTAAAAAAGTCAAAAACTTGGTTAAAAGCCAAAAAGTCACTTTTTACCATCTTCCCAAAACAACCCTTAGCAAACTCCTGTCCGGGGGATGAGTTTGTAGATGATTGGATTCTTTTTTCGGTGCCAACTTAGTTGAGATTGGGTTAGTTTGTTATGATGCATAGTGCTCTTTCCTTCCTTTATTTGATGTAATCTCATCTCTTGTATGATTTTTTATCAATAAAAGTTCTTTTTTTGCTGAACAAAAAATAAATAATTAAGGACGGTAGATGCATTAATACGAGTGATTAATAGTTTTTCAAAATTATTTTTGAGTTTTTTTTTGTGTTTTTATATATATATATATATATATAATCAAAAAAATTATGTTTATATGTAATTAAAAATAAAAATATTTAAAAATATTTACTTAAGACTAAAAAAACAAAACACACACACACATACACAATTTTGATATATATATATATATATATAATTTCTTCACAATTAATTTACCTTTCAGGCATATCTTAAAAAAAAAAATACAAAAACAAGAAAAATAAAAATTCAAAAAAATTTCAAGTTATAAACCAAACAAGGTGGATTAATAACAGGGCATTTGACATAGTTGTTGCGTAACACTTTTTGTGGTGTGAGATTTCGGGTTGAACTCCTATAAAAAAAAAAAAGTTTAATATCCTTTGGTGGTAGTTAGTTTATTTTTCTCCTATTATGAAGGTTGTTGAGCTTGGCTTTTGATAATGTAAATATTATGTACTAATTTAACATCTAACAATTGATTTTCGTCAATTAAGGCTTAACTTTTGATAATGTGAATATTATGTACCAATCTAAAAATTAACAATTAACTTTTGGAGCTCGTATGTCGGTGCCAATTTAATTAGAATTGATACATTTAGATATAATGCTTGAGCACTAACCTCTTTTTTGTTTATGTATCAATTTGTAATTCTTATGTTTATCGATAAAGATTTTTTTATTGATAAAAAAAATAATTAATTTTTACTGATAAAAAAAATTGGTGAATATTTTTTGAAATGTGAATCAAGATCACCACTAACCGTTTATATATATATATATATATAAATGTTTGGAATCCTCTTCGGGGATGACTCACACACTCTCAAAGTAATCTTGGCCTTCTATGTATATGTGGGGGCTACTCATATATGTATGGAGTCCACATCATAAATGGTTCAGATTTGTGAGCGTCATGCGGAGATCTTGTAGGGGTGGGGTCTCAATCCTGGCTCATATATATATATATATATATGGCATGGCTTCTGTCCAGTCCTTAATTGAACTGGACCGTGTTGTTGGTCCCGTGGGGCCTACCACGGGTCCCGCTTAGATAATCTGAACCGTTCAATGTGTAGAACTCGTTGAGTACTATATGATTGTAAAAAATCACGTTAATCGGGTATCGATAGGTATGTGATCAAATCAGTTTTGTAGAAAAAGAAAATGGACGGTGAATAAATTAACAGTTGACAAAAATCTGTTTTGATCACGTAGCTATCGATATCTGATCAACGTGATTTTTTACAGGCATATAGTACTCGACGAATTCTATACATTGCGCGATTCAGATTATCAAAACGAAACCCATGATGAACCCTCATGGACTCAATAATACGATCTAATCCGATTAAAGACTAAACAAAAATCATTCCCATATATATATATATATATATATATATATTTGTCTTTTCTTTTTATATCTTATTTTATTAGTTTATAAACAAAACTGATTTTCTGAACTAATAAATTCAAGGGCAATGATACATCCCACTAAAAGTGGTGCTCTAAAGCACCACTAATGAGTTGGCAAGCACTTTAACTAAAAAAAAAAAAAAAACACAAGACACAAGCA